TTTTTTTTTTTTTTCTTTATCTGGTTTAACACATCCAGAGAGTCATCAGATTCATTGTTATATTGGCATATCTCGCTACCATTATCAATTCAATTCTCCTCCAACAGATTTTTTTTTTTTTTTCTTTATCTGGTTTAACACATCCAGAGAGTCATCAGATTCATTGTTATATTGGCATATCTCGCTACCATTATCAATTCAATTCTCCTCCAACAGATGCGCCCTCATGTGCAAATCCGACTAGGTATTTGGTAATAAAATAATAATAATAATAATATAATAATACAAGAAAAATGAAAACCACCAAATGCCAATTTGTAATTCTATGTAACCCATTTGCCTACGGTTTCTCCAAACCAACTTACAGCTTTCTCTCGCCGTTTCTGACGCGCATCGTCATGAGTCTTTATGAAAGGAGACGCCTCTTGCGCGTACATCTTCTGCTGCTCCAGTTGTGCATAGTGGGCTCGGATCTCCAGCTCGCGTTCATGTGGTGTGAGTTGTTCCAATGGCTTGGATGGCTTGAATCCTGGTGGAATGGCCTCGCCTCCGGGGATTTCCAGGGAGCCTGGTGTATTTTCGGCTTTTTGCTGTTGGGGTTTTCCCTGGGGATTGAAGAGGGATGTGAGAGGCGGAGGTTCCTGGCCAGCCGCTCGGGCCTCCTCAACTTGTTTCTCATAATCCAGCATCTCATGGTAGAGCTTATCGGCATGCATCTGAATCTTTTCCTCTCTCTCGTCATCCCATTCAAACGAGGACGAGTAGCCCAGTGCCTGGAGAAATTTCTACTCACGCATGAGCAATTGTCCAGCAGCAGCCGCGACGAAGGCAGATAGGGCCTAAGGGATAAGTTCCGCGAGGTCTTCACTTACAGCTTGAGTAGTAAAGCACCGAGAGAATTTCCCATTTTCCTCGGAACACAGAGTCATACGAGACATTAATCGTTTCTGCAAGTTACCGTTTTGGAAACACAGTGTCAAATCCTCATGTTCCAATGCACAATTCTCCATCGCTGCGCGGTGTACCGTATCATTGCGTGACTTGTACTGTTCAATCACCCTAGAAGCGCCCTTCACTTCAGTGTTTTCCTCGCTTGGCGGTTTGTAGGTCTTCCAGAGATGGGAGTAACGGCCGTCGGGGAAAAGTGAGGCAGCAGGAACAGCAGGTTTCGAAGATTCGGTGGTTTCGGCTGGTTGCGCTGATTGGGCATGTGGATCTACTTTCTTAGACGGATCCTGCGCGGAAGGCCCTGAGGTCGCAGGGACGTATTTCTTTGGGGCTTCATGTTCGAGATATTCTCGGAGACCCGGGTCAAGCTTCTTGACGGGGTCGTCTTGATTCGAGTTGCCCCAAAACCAACCCATGATTGCGACCAGGGACTAAGAAAGAACTCGAGTTGGAAATAGTACTATTCGATCAGCGTGGCCCTGGTGGGTGTCAATTGAGGATTTCTCGGCTTTCCAGAACCAAAATTCCGAAAAGTATATGCGGAGAAGATTGAACTTCCTTTGGGTGATCGACTCGGGCGGGAGCGACTCAAGCCACCAAACCGTTTTTGGCTGAACGGGAATACTACCTATCAAATCAGAAATTTAAATCCACCCTGATTGAACCATTCATCCTCGCCATAGTATGTTCTTGCATGAGATGCTTATCTTGGGGCTTGGCTGGCCAGCTCGGTCAGTTGTCTGTTCCATTCTTCACTGGCTCAATTACTAGTCATTAGATCCCATATGACTACTAGTAGTAGTCTTGAAGGATAAACGGCACTATAAGTTGATTAATATATATTCAAGTCTCCATTGCCTTACCATACAGTCCTCTACTAGCTCTTTTTATCATTCTTACTTTTTGTTTATTTACTTCTTTATTTCTTCAAGGGAACTCTTTCTACCAACTATGGTCACCGATATACTCTGAAAATATCATCACATAATCTCAATTATATACTCCGAGGGAGAATATTTTATGTATAGTTGCTGCCAAGCATCGAGGCCACGCTTTTCCCGAACCAGAAAGACCAAACTATTTTGGGAAACTCAGCATCCCCGAAAGTATGATCGATTATGGAATACACGCCCCATCATTGATTTCGGCGCAACACCTCCTTGGACCTTTACACCTAAATCTCGCGTAGAGTTGCGCGTTGAGCTCGCCGAGGCGCCGCTTCTCGATCATGGCCTCCAGTATGCACCCCTTAATGAAGTTGCGAAGAATCTATTGTCAAAACTAACGAATCCCGCAGATCGAGAGGAGCGGCTGCAAATGCGGCAGCGCGGCGCTGGGTACGCGCTGGTCTTACCCCGCGACCGATTGAAGAAGACAAGGAAGAGCTGACATTGCAAATCATAATAGGACACGCAAGATCAAGGAAGTGAATTTCGGCTTCTCTTTTGGTCTCGCTCCCCCGCCTGAAGAGCCGCCACAAGCCGCGTCGCAACCTGCCGATGTTGACATTTCCATCGAACCCCGCGCCGCACCACCGCCACATTCAACTTCGGAGAATACGCAACCGTCTTTGTTATCGCCAGAAAAGCAGTTTCCATCATCACAAGATACTGGGCAGCTCCGAACTCCAGGCGGGGCGCGTAATTCACTCCCCGAGCGACCCTCAACATTCGACATACCGGAAGATGATGCGTTGGACCTTGGGCGAAGCGGCAAGCGAAGGAAGATTGGTACGTGCATAGAATAATGCTATGGCCATACTTACTATCTAACGTCATTATAGAGCCCCCTGGCCAGAGCCCGAGAGTATCCGTCGAGCCAGAAGTCACGCAACAGGAAAAACGACACTCGCCGGCTCTCCAAAATGGCGTCCAGACAAGCGCGCCTGTGCCTAGCGAGCCTACGGAACCACGCGACGGACCCTTGACTATGCAAAATACTACAGATGTAGCCCAGACGGAGCAGACACGCAAAGAAACGCCTGATCCAACCACCGCGATGGTGTCGGACAACCCAGCACCTGAGGCGGCCATGCTGGAGGAGGATGAACATCCAGATCAAAACGGCGTGAATCAGAAGCCCACGGAGCCCCATAAAGAATCGTCCGGGGCTGATGGAACGCCGGAACTCGAAGACACCACGAATGGCAAGCGTAAACGACGAGGGTCTCGTGCCCGCCAGCGACGGTCCCAGAGTATTGAGCGGCCGGAGACGGAGGCTGAGAGCACACAGCATCCAGCGCCACAGGAACCATCATTGGCGACGAATCTTGATAAATCCATGGAAGCGGACTCTCTCAAATCACAGTCTGGGAAACGGTCCAGAGGCCGGCCGCGATCATCAACACAATCATCACCAGCAATAGATGAAGGGGGCGCGCAGAATGATGTTGCCTCGACAAAAAGCGTGCCGGGCGGTAGCATGCCGACTCAGCAACAGACAACGAAAAGGCCTCGGGGTAGAAAAGCAAAAGAGCCGACGGCGGATTCTGTTGCCAGTGAAACACAAAATAGCCAGCCTCTGGACGAGGGTAATGTGCCGGAGGCAGATGATACGGCTACATCTGAAGGGGCCCGCCAGTCGCGTCAAAAGTCAAAGGCGACGAACGACATACAAAAGCAAGTTGGATATCCCGGCAAGAAAGCTATTGAGCTGCCGGAAAGTGTGGAGGCCCTAGGACCAGCCGGTGAAAATAGAAAGCAGAGAAGAAGATTGGCGTCTGAGCCTGAGCCTGAACCGGATGTTGAATCAGAAGGTCCAAAGGAGCCCACACTGGCTGGCGAAAAGAGGAAACGAGGAAGAATGTCAAAAGAGGAGCCCGAGCCCGAGCCCGAGCCCGAGCCACAGCTCCAGAGTGAGCCCCAGAACGAGCCCGAGGTCTCGAGAGAACCCAAGCTAGCTGCCGAAAGGAGGAAACGGAGAAAGAGGTTAGATCAGGAGTCCCAGCCAGAACCAGAGGTGGAGCCCGAGCCTGAAGTTTCAAGAGAGCCTAAACCGGCTTTCGAGAAGAGAAAACGAGGAAGAAGGGCGAGAGGGGAGCGAGAGCTGGAACCAGAATCTGAGCGCCAACGCGAAGTCCCCGAAGAGCCTGAACCAGCTACTGAGAAGGGGGAAAGGAGCAGAAGGTCAGATCAGGGCCCGGAGCCAGAACCGGAACCGGAACGGGAGTCTCAGGCTGAGCCTGACCCCGTGTCTTCAAAGGAGCCAAAACCAGCTGGCGAAAAGAGGAAGCGAGGAAGAAGGCCAAAAGAGGAGCGAGTGCCGGAGCCAGAACCTGAGCGCCAGCCCGAAGCCCTTGAAAAGCCAGAACCAGAACCAGCTTCAGCTCCCAAACGTGGTCGCGGCCGACCGTCACTATCCCATAAGGGTCCTGAAGTCACCCACCGTGAGGAAGACCTTGCGGCTCAGAACGAAAATGAGGAGGAGGCTTCTCGCACCACTAGAAGAAAGCCCAGACAGCCTCGTGGAGAGACGGTTCCTGTAACAGTCCATCGTATTGCTAACGTCGCTTCGCTTGGAGGCCATGTTCAACCTTCCGAGCTATCCGACGACGAGGAGGAAGAATCTGCCGATGAGCTCGCGACGAGACAGAAAACCAAACTCCCTAGTAGGGGAGGCGTAAATGTCGCCGATGTTCTTAGCCAAATCTGCCGAGAAACACTGGAGAAGACGCTTACAACACTCAAAAATGGAATCTCCAACGAGGGAAATGCAGCACGGCGCTCAGAGTGGACTACCAAGAAAAAAGCTGTGGAAGCATTCGGCACCGAGCTCGAAGGACGCCTTTTCGAACTGAGCGAAATGCTCGACAGTAACTTCATACTAGGGGTCAAACTGAAAAAGGCCAAGCGGGAAATGATGGATATGCGCGGCCGGCTGTATCAACTACGAAAAGAAAGGGAGAGAGTGGCATTGCAGATGGATGCAGTCCGAAGGAAGCACTCGGAGGAGGAAAATGCAAGCCAGGTAAGTTGGCCTACGCAACGATACCGTTGTCGCTTGACCTGTAGCTAACACCGTACTAGGCGCGCACCAACATCAACAATTCTCTACACAGCCTAGATCTAGCCCTCGAACGCAGCCAGAACCGGCCTGCAGGCGAGTCGGACGACTCGTCTTCGTCCGAACTATCCTTGACCGTTGGACTAGAATTCATGCTCCGTAGTGTTGCGGACAACGTGAGCTCCCACGCCCCTGGAGCCCAAGGGGGACTCTTGAACCAGATCAAGGTATTTAATGCGCAGCTTGAGGCCGCCGCACGAACACTTGAGAGTTGATTTCTGAATTTTTTGTTCTCTCTTCGATTTCCGTTCTCAAATACCCCACAGCATTGCAATAGTTTCGTCTTTGTGTGATGAATATGTATGACGGCGATGGCAGTATACCATGGGTTCAATGGCTTTATTTTTTCTTTTTTAATTTTCTTTCTGGATACCTCGTTCTCTCACTCTTTGCTTTTCTTCTACCAGGGGGGGGAAGAACGTCGAACCAAAATAGCATTCAAGGTGTTCCGGTGGATTACGGGCGATGGACTCTTCTTAGAATAAGGACTGCCTTGTGGATGGAAATATAATGCGATGGCGTACATATATCCAGTCTGATGCTTTGCCTCGTCCAAGTGTACAATGGGATGTCACTATTGTTCTTTTCCTATCATAGCCTGGTTGAAACCAATTCAGATTCGATGTTTATAGGATCGACAAGTCGTGATAAGAATAAACCCGGGGTAAACATGACAGTCGTGGTTGAGATAGTCTCGAGGGAGCGACCGCTTTATTGACAGGGATAAGGTGCACTAACGCAAGTATATGCAGAAATGTACGTCATAAAATCTCCGTCTACCTACAGAGTATGTACTAGGAGTTGATGCATCTTCTACTCCATCCATAGTATACAAGTTTGATCGATAATGGATTCAGATTACTAATGACACGGAAGTAAAAAGTCGAACATCGGATATAAAGGGCGCCGCATGATTAAGTTTTCCGCTTATGTGAGCCAATGATTGGAAATCAATGGCGAAAAACAAAAAGGAAAAAAAAAAAAAAAGTCTCCGAAGTATAGTATAAAAGGAGGTTGTACTTTGGCTCTATGAACCGTTTAGTATACAATTCAAAAAACCACACTCGAAGAGAAAATAAGGGTGATTTCAGAGGGAAGAAAAATACGGAGTACATTACTTCCAATTGAAAAATAAATTATTTTTTTTTTTTTAAAAAAAAAGATAATGGCCTCTTCCACACTTTTCACCCCCCTTCAAGTCGGGCGCATGCAACTCGCCCACCGCATCACCATGGCCCCGTTAACCCGCTTCCGAAACGATGACGACCATGTGCCTCTCCCCATAGTAAAAGAGCACTACGAACAGCGTGGCTCCGTCCCCGGTACTCTCCTCATCACGGAAGCGACCCTCATTTCTCCTCGTGCAGGCGGTTACCCCAATGTTCCCGGGATCTGGAGCGAGGCCCAGATCGCCGCATGGCGCACCGTCACCGACGCCGTGCACGCCAAGGGCTCCTACATATTCATGCAGCTCTGGGCGTTGGGCCGTGTCGCCAACCCGGCCAACCTGAAGAAGGACGGCTACGACCTCGTCTCCAGTAGTGCCGTACCTGCGACCCCCGAGGGCCCTGCTCCCCGGGCATTGACCGAGGATGAGATCCGCGACTATATCCGCGACTACGCGCAGGCCGCGAAGAATGCCATTGCGGCTGGGTTCGACGGAGTCGAGATCCACGGCGCGAACGGGTACCTGATTGATCAGTTTACGCAGGATACGGCCAATCAGCGCACAGATAGCTGGGGCGGCAGCGTTGAGAACCGCGCCCGGTTTGCGCTGGAGGTCACCCAGGCTGTGTCGGAGGCCATTGGCGCCGAGAGGACGGGCATTCGTTTCAGTCCCTTCAGTACCTTCCAGGGGATGCGCATGGCGGACCCCGTCCCGCAGTTTGAGTATCTGGCGCGGAAGACGAAGGAGTTTAAGCTGGCTTACGTGCATCTGGTTGAGCCTCGCATTGCGGGTAACACCGAGGTTGATGGGCCCAGTGCAGACTCGTTGGACTTCTTTTTCCGCGCTTACGAGAAGGCTGGTCCTGTCATCGTGGCCGGTGGGTATAAGGCTGAGTCGGCCAAGGAGGCTGTTGACTCTCACTACAAGGATTATGATACCCTGGTTGCTATGGGACGGCCCTTTACCTCGAACCCGGATTTGCCTTTCAAGGTCAAGGCAGGTATTCCCCTGAGGGCCTATGAGAGGGAGAAGTTCTACCTGGTTAAGGATCCTATTGGATACACTGATTATGAGTTTAGCGAGGAGTTCATCAAGTCTGTGCAGGTTGCTGCTTGATTTCTTTTTCTTCCTGGTTTTTGATGTTTACTTGGATTGCATTGCATTGCGTTGCCTTGCATTATCAGGCGTTTTGGGGCTAGCATAGAAGATATTGACTATAGATGAGATTTGTACATACATAAACTATCATTGGATATAAAACCATTATTCATATTTGATCATGATTGGGGTTTGCTCTCGGTAGAAACTGCAATAGATGTGTCCATTATCTATGGTCATAGGCCAGTGGCCCCAGTTTGCATCATAATGCAATTAAGCAGAAGATGAAGTACTCGCTTACATGATGCTGTCCTGTAAAGAAGCGCCGAAGGTCTACCATGCAGTTGAATCATCGATAGATATGTCCTGCTATACTCTGGGCACTATAACAAAATATACGGAGTGGCCGGAAAGAGCCCGAGTGGAAGCTTCTGCTCTCACAAATTTTCTGACGATTCTCATAACTCAGCGATAAAGTACCTAACCATGAGTTTGATCTGGAGTAGTATACTCAAAAACCTTTTCTTTGGTCAGATAATATCTGCGACTGATTGCAGGATGCGTTATTTAAGGTAAGGGAGGTGCTCAATAAGGTACCCAGTATGAGCTCTAATGTAAACCAAGAGATCTTACTGAATTGAATCTTTTGTACTCGTCTAGTTCCCGAAGGAAGCATGCTAGCATTGAGGCTCGAGAAAATATGCTCGATAAACGAATAATCGAACTCAACCATGGCATTATCGAAGCTGAGATGGTCCGTGTGAGAGTTGTCGGTGAACAACCAGGACGAGGGAGGAAAGCTCTTGCAAGTCAAACTATAGTCAAATCACCCACAGTATGGGGTGATTTTCCCCCTGGTCACCGGGACAAGAATGTACTCCGTCGAATGGGAAAGCGGAGCCCGGCGGATAGCGACATGATCTAGTGATGGTGAACAGCCGCTCCACCCGGGAAAAGTTTGCACGATCACTAGGAATGTGGTGTGGAAGTAGTCTCGCTGCCGTAGATAGTGCATATCTACTCCGGAGTACTATGTAAAAAGATTTGAGATTGGGTCATGCATCTAGTATCCAGTAGTTCTTGGGACTAAGGTATGCATGTAGATCGGGAAACCCCTATCCATTGAAATGCATCATGCTGGTCTATCATTGCGTAACCCCCACCTGATCGTCTATCTCAGGAAGATTTCTTCAGTTGAAGTTCAGAGTTTCATGAACTATTCCTGTTGTTTATTCTTTTGTTGGTGGTGGGAATCTAGTTGATTCTAGCGTTGTGGAGAAGTGTAGATCTCCAGCGAAAGAGCGGTCAGACATCAGTTTTCTGTTGACTCTGAGTTTATTACAGAGTAGACTTGACACGATTCAAATCCCGATGGTATCTCCACGCTACATACTTACTCCGGATGAAATAGTGTGGTCTAAATATTGAGCTCGTTCGACGTGATAGCAGGTTGAATCAACCATCAAGGTTTTCCTGTTGATGATCATGACACCATCCCGGGTCTTGAAGGTTGTTTTACCTTAATTCCCAAGAGTTTACTCCATACCTTACCGCCTTTGGTCGCTCTGATCAGTTGCGAGCGAAGAAAAGTCAGTAATTACTAATCAGTTCTCGTGACTATCAAACAATTCCACATCGCCACCAAGAAACAATGATATCACGCAACACCCCCAAAAAAACATCACCCACGCGGGGTGACTCCATCCAGAAGAAGAACGAACAGAAACCCTGACTCACGTAGTGGGGACCTAAGATTCTTGGAATCCTTGGCTGAGCTCTTCGCCTCCGGTATTTCCTTTCACCTAATCAATTTTTCGGCTCCTGAGAACATTGGTTTTCCGCTCCGCCGAACCGAAAGGATTTCCTTCGTTTCTCTTTTCTTGGAACCGGGGAGGTTCTGAAATATGTTTGGATGGTACTATTGAATACCTTGTGAGGGTCCGGAGGTCCAAATATTATGGCCCCAGATTGGCGTCCCCAACGTCAGAGCAGGGTTCACTGGTTTCTCGTCGAATCATAGATAGAATTATTCTGACCCGATGACCCTGCCCCGGACTCGGCTGCAGAGAGAGAGAACTCGGTACGTACTGGGTCGCTGGGCGGAGCCACGTGGTGAATCCAAGGTTTACGATTCTGAGAATGCTGTTCCTTATTTTGGTAGTTTGTATTCTACTGCGGTCCTTTTGTTAGTACTTAGTAGGTACTTTGGGAAGTATACTATTGGTATACGGACAGCTGTCGATCGCGCCCATCCCATGACCCGGACAGAGATGCATCCATTGGTCTTTTTTGACAAGACCAAAGAAATGCATGACGACGTGTCGTCCAAGCTCTCAGGCTATTGAGCGCTTGGGCACCAACGACCTAAACATTTGTCTGTTGGGGACTTCAATGGAATTGCCGTCTTGTTAAGTTGGGCAAACACTACTCTGATGTTTCAGCGATGTAGCACAAGTACGGAGTAGACGTCGAGGGCCTTCCTTAATTCCTCCAAATGCATAATGAACAGGAGTATAGAGTTGGGTATGCGAGACTTGACCGGTTCCTTGAAGGATGCGACCCTCTCCACGTGGAGTGCACTTTGCTTGTGGGGTTCGATCATGCACTCAACCATGGATCGAAGGGTCCCGGAGCAATGGAGGACTGAAGTAATAACCTAGGTTAAGGTCTTGGGTATACCTAGTATGTCGAGGAACAGTGAACATAATGTTTTAGGAAGTAGTCTAGAGAAATCTCGTATGCAGGGTCGTTTTGGTATCATCTCTGGATGGATCAACTCCACAATCTCTCCAGTCCTCCTCCAGACCCGTACGATATACGCCAAGCGTGTTTTGGTGTTCTTTGTGTCAGATTGGCGCCAAGGGTGGTACATGGATACATACATAGGTACATACATAGACTTTGCGGGGAAGAACCTTGTATGATTGCCTGATAATTGATGGCTTCTATAGGGTTGGTTTACTATGTTTAGGTACGGAGTACTCTGTATAATATGCACCATTCTTTGATTCTTTGACTGGCTGTCGGTAATTTCCATACATACAGCACATCCTTACAGACACGGGTCCCTTGTTAAAACGAAGAGCCTAGATCATGGAGGGGTACTGGATTTCGGCCCATTAATGCGGGCGATATGAATTGGCATAAGATACGAAATTTGCTCTATTGCTAATATGGATTGCATAACATTAATTAATATAACCATAATATTAGGGCACAGGGCTACAATCATTGGTAATCCTGTTACTAATTAGTCGAATCATCAAACCACGCATCTGTTGGATCACCCTCCGCCAATGGGATTCGCTTGGGAGCACCTATGTATGCAGCTTAATTAGTAGCCCCCAATAATTTAGTATGGCTTGCAGCAGGGGCTGAACCGAAGGTTCACCATCATTTATTTTTGCCAAGGAAAGACCTGGCCTAGCCACCCGACCTGTATCTATCCGGCCTGGTATGATAAAATTTCTTTTTTCCCGGTGATGGTGGTTTGTAATTCATTTTGCCAAGTATCAATTATTGACCGGATTACGGAGAACTCCTTGGGTATAGGCACTATTTATAATAAACCGGTTGATTGCAGTGGTGCGGATATATCCGACCACGATCAATTTGAGTCGTACTCCCGTCCCTCTCTCATTGCTTGTCAAGATTTCAATTGGTGGAGGAAATAGATGGCCCAAATCGATTGTGCATATGTTGACAGTGTCAGAAGTTGCCCTAGGAAACAAACATTATATCACTTGCAGATCCAAACCATTTATTCCTGAACTCTGAAGGAGTTTGAACGACTTTTTGCTATATAGTACGTGGCCAGAGGTAGTTGGATTACCGAGCCGCGTTTCGCTCTAGGGAGATCTGCTGGTGTTACCCTAACGAAGTACCTGGTCCGAATCCTGACTCCAATGAGTAACCTGAGGAGTGGTGATAAGCAACTCCTTATTTCGAGTCGGGCAGAGCCGTCCATATTATATGCTCCTTGTGCTGGTCAATATCATTGTTCAAGGATGGATTTAATGATGATAGTCCGTAGGTGATGGGTCCCGCCTTGACATCTGAGCTTGTTCATACGCCAGCATTGAGGCTGTGAGTGCTAGAACGGAGGACAAGGGAGCACAGCGGAGCTCCGGAGTGTAAACAGTCAGCTTCCGCGGCAAAAACGGTCAGAAGTCAAATCAACACCAAGTGGGTTAAGTTCGATCATTTACCGTGACGGGGTCGCGAACGAAACAGCCTACCAAGCTAAGTTACTTTAGCGCGCATTGGTCGCAAGCTATAAAGACCAACCCACCAGTGTTTTCCTCGCCGGTCAAGTCCGTGGGTCGAGATCACTCGGGTGAATCATTGGTGCGTAATCCGCCACCGAGCATGGGTATTCTAAAAAACACAATGGATGACATCCTGGAGCTTTTCTCGGTTTAGTTTGGCTCTTTGTTGATCAATGTTGCTGGGGGACGGAAGGTTTGGCCTTTTCCTTTTTTTCTTTTTTTTTTTTTCTCATCGCATCATGCATCATGCCAGTAGTAAATATCCCGGCCGATCAGCGGAAGAGAGGGAGCGAGTCATCGTGAGAGAAAAATGACACAGCAAAACCATAACATACTACTGCTTAGAGTGTTTTTTTGGAAACAAAAATCAAAATAAAAATAAAGACAAAAAGAAAAGAAAAATTTTCTTCCGCCGTGACTTTCAATCCTCTGTGGGCCATACATATAAGTATGGTGCGCGCAGGTCCTCCAGGCTCCAGCGCTTATTGATGTTCCATATGAATCCATAGTAATCGTCAGCTTACCCATGATAGTCAAATGGTGACACCCACGACGCCTCATATCAAGCTTTCCGTCTACAGTGAGTCGCATTTGCCAAATGGATGGCCCACAGACGATGTGCACGAGAGTTGGAGCATCTCTGGCATGAAGGGGTCCACTGTTGATGGTCTCTGAATTTAGCCCCTAGTCCACACGAGAAAATTACTAGCCTGGAATAGTTTAGGCACAGGTCAATGGTAACAACTCCTTGCGTGGGTTGTTTCAGTATGTGGTAGGATTACCGTTCCATGTCGAGTCACTGTTGATGCTACATCTCGATGAGTACCATACTCTGCAGTCATATCGAAAGAGTTGTGCTGGATGAAGTAGAATGAAAACGGACGATAGGGACTAGAGTGTCACGGCCGGACCCGTGTATGAGCATTACCAGACTGTTTGGAACCTGGACCTTTCTGCTTTATGTAACACATTCATGTACCTTATGGAACTATGTTAATTACGGTAAGAGTAAATACTACCTAAGCTTCCTAGTTGGGTCCATACCTATCCAGTCTTTTTGACTCCATCCTTCTGACCATTAAGCACCTCGATCTGGTACTGTACCTTAACAACTGAGGTGATGTGGTGTAACATTTGGGTTAAGATGTAAAAAAAAAAAGAAAAGAAAAGAAAAGAAAAGAAAAGAAAAGAAAAGAAAAGAAAAGAAAAGCAAAGAAAAGAAACCGTAGTATTTGAAAGTCGAGTACACACATCTACTCGTCTACTACTTAGGTTATTGATCCTTACAGGACCCAATAAGAACCGTCTTTTGTCTCGGGTCTCAGGATCCTTTGATTGGTGCTTTTTCCCCAGATGAACATTCCATAATTGAAAAGCTCGCTGAGAGGGTTAGAAAAAACTAAAATAAAATTGAAAATAAAAATAAAAGAAACCCAACCGAAAGTACTCTCTGCTAAGAGTCTCCACTTCCGTACCCCGGGGTCTTGGAAAGTCGGGCCATGCAATGAGAATTGCTGGATGGGAGAAAGTTCCTTTCACCCTTGGACCAACCATACCGTTCCCCCATGTATTTTTTTTCATTTTCGCTTCCCCCCCAAAACTTTTTTCTAGATTGATACTGTAGTTGGGTTGGTGTTTCTCCCCCGCTTTGGCTTTTCTGCATAAATTGGAGAAAAAAAAAGCTAGGAATAATTAGCCCCCGGACAGCCGATTCTACTTACCGTATCCTCGACCTTTTCATTTAAGACCAGACATATCCCTTCTTCCTCGAGTTTAGTGTATCTTCCGTTCGGTGGATTCGCGCGAATCGTCCGTCCTCGACTTTGACACGAACTAAATTCCCAGCTCCGTTGCTCCACTCACTGTGACCCTCAATCCATCCAAGGGAAACTTGGAGACAGAGAGAAATTAGCCCAGCGAGAGGAAAAAAAAAAAAACCCTAAATCAGAACTAAGTCCAACTAACGGGCCTTCCTCCCGTATTCGGTAAGTTGCTGTCCTCACACCCCTGCAACTTTCGCTCGTCCGATTGAATGTCTGGTTGTTTCTTTCCATCGGTCCAGACGGCCCTCGTCCCTTCTTATTTTATTATTTGACTTACGCTTTCCCCTCCTCTTCCTTCCGTTCTATTTATTTCTCCTTTCTCCATCTTGCACGGTCCTAAATCGTCAAGCCGTTTTTTTGTTCTAGCCAGCAGTGCTGTGCGCATCGTGTCTTCTGTTCTCCCTTTGAAATCCCTTGCGCGGTTTCATATATATTCATCTCCACGTCCAGCTAGCTGGATTCACTTCTCATCTTTTAACCTCACTTGTTAATTCTCTGTCGCATCAGATATCAATTGGACCTATTGTGAATAGATCCTTCAATCCGTGAGCATCATGGCCGCCCAAGAAAATCCCCAAGCGTTCGAAAAGGACTTCGGAAACAGCTCCGATGGCATCAACGGAGCTGCTCCCACCCACCAGCTGTCCGCTGAGGACACAGCTAGGGCTGCTGCGCGCTTCGGATATGGACCTCTCGCTCACGTCAACACCGCTGAGGCTCAACTCCGTCCCTTCGGTGGTGAGTTCCAACCTGGTCTGTACAAGTCTGTCGAGCACCGCAAGTTCGGTAACCCAGCCCCTCTGGGCCTGTCTGCTTTCGCCCTCACCACTTTCGTGCTAAGCGCGATTAACATGGGTACGCGCGACATCGCTGAGCCCAATATTGTGGTCGCTTTGGCTTTCGGCTATGGTGGTCTCGTTCAATTGCTTGCTGGCATGTGGTAAGTTGATACTCCACTGAGATGTCCAGTCGCTGTACACTAACATTCTAAAGGGAAATGGCCGTTGGTAACACCTTTGGTGCCACCGCTCTGTCTTCTTATGGTGGTTTCTGGCTTGCTTTCGCGATTATCCTGACCCCAGGTGGATTCGAGATTGCGGAGGCTCTCGGAGGCGCAGGTACACCACAGTTCGATAACTCTTTCGGATTGTTCCTCTTTGTAAGTTCGCAGTTCCGGTGATTGAATGAGTCGCGTGCTGACTGTGACAAGGGATGGTTTATCTTCACCACTATCCTGCTGTTTTGCACCCTGAGATCCACCGTAGCCTTCTTCTTGCTGTTTTTCTTCCTGGATCTGACCTTCTTGCTCCTTGGTATTGGTTATATCCACCGCAACTCCGAGGGCAAGCCCAACCCCCCCGTCATCAAGGCCGGTGGCTTCTTCGGTCTCCTGGCAGCATTTGCAGCTTGGTACAACGCCCTCGCCGGTATTGCGGACAACAGCAACAGCTTCTTCATCCTCCCCGTCGCCCATTTCCCCTGGTCTCCTACTGCTCGCAGCCGCAAGTCCGAGCGCGAGACCGTTTAGATTATTGCGCGGTGTGAAGGTCGATGATCATAACTCGATTGGGCCGGGATCTTGTCCCGGCGTTTCCTTTTTTGTCAGATACCCATTCTTGTAAGATCATTGCTGCGAGAATGTAATGCCGTGTCAGCATTCTGCATGTTGTATTGCAGATCAGCTTGACCACCCAATACTATACCCAAATCCGCGGCAGGTATAGATGGTCTTTGCGATGATTTCATTTGCTTTTGCCGTTTGCCAGCACCTTTTATAGCTTTGTAATGATGGCGACCTGTTGTTCATGTGAATGGACGATGGAAGGGGATGTGTGTCTGTATCTAGTTCTATTAGTTAATGCACTCAATGATAATGAATCTGCTGCTTCATCGTGTTGTAGTTGGAAGGCGTGCGATCCTGTAGGCAAGTCATGTCTATGTCTGTTTGGCCACGGGACATGCTGCGGACCTGTCGTGAAGCACAGACGTTAGCTCCCACACGTGCCAGCATAGTAGTCATCACTGATCGATATACCACATGCCCTCAACATAGAGGCTGACGAATATCCCTCGGCTCTTCGAAGTACGACAGTATATAGTAGTAGTTCCTATCGGATTAGCATAAACATTCGTCCTCCAACAAAAAAAATGTAGAGAGAGATGTAATCAAAACACCACAAAAGATATAAGTGCGAACACAGCTCTCAGACCAAGCGCAAAACCTAAACCAATCAATCAGCATAAAACAAACAATACATAGATTGAGCAAAAAAGGCGCTTCTAGTTTCTCTGCGCAATAGTATGCATGGCCATTTGCACACACACACACACACACACAAAAAAAAAAAAAGAAAAAGAAAAAGAAAAAGAAGAAGAGATAGAAGAAAAGGGGCCGCCAAACTAATATGTCCTATAGATCGGGAATTTCTCGGTTTGCCTTTGCAGGTCGGGAGTCGTTCGGACGGGTGAAGTTCGGCATCTTGGTGCAAAATTTTTACAGCACGTGGAGCTGGCTACGGGGGTAACTCGGGCTTGGCGTGAGTTCTGCATGCATAAGCTTGTTTTTCCTTTCTTTTTCTTTTCCTTCCGGTGTTTTATCTATTTTGTTGATCGTGATTTTTATCTTTGAGATCTTTGGGTTCTAAAGTAGAGGCTTGCCTAGATTATATGCTCATAGAGAGGGTAATTGAATATCTTGAAAGAAAAAAAAATGTCATGATCCTTGGTAGATAGATCTAGGTGTATATCCAAGTAAATCAAGCAAGAGAACTAAAATACCTCTGACGTAGATCCATCAAAAATTCTTTTCCGGGAACTCCCTCATTGGAATCAGGAGATCATGCCATTACTCGGACATGAAAATCGCGCATACTATTGTAGAATACATGTAGCACTAATAGAAAATGGCATGGCCTTGTTTGGTTCTAATGCATGTGTGAAATGGGTGAGATTATGGTACCTACATGGCTGTTTTGTCCTCTCTTTGGGCCGTTTTTGTGACGTGATAATATTGTTACTAAGTCACTTCCTAGTTACTGAGTATTTTTATGGGTGTGTGAGTGCTGGATTAGAGACTAAGTGGATGTTGGGCTGGGTGCCGTGCAGGGTTGGAGTACCTAGATACTCGTAGATACTGGGTAGGGGTAGGGTTGCAAGTTGTGAACGGGTCCACTCTGTTTGGTGTGACAATTGGTTGATTGTTAAACCTGCATAGTATTACCCAGTTAAGTAATACTAGCTGTTGTCCACTTGATAGGACGGTGTAGTGATAGGGCGCCGCTGGTTATCAGGTGGCTTGCTGGTTCTTGGCCAGAGACTTGGGAGTATCGCTGCAGCTTATCACAATGTAACACATGAGGGAGGTGAAGTGTGTGGACAGAGATAACGTGTAGGTATGTAAGGTTGGAGTGGCCTGTCTCATGGTATGTACAGGGTTATTTTCATTACTATACATAGTTATATAACGGCTCATTGGGTATAGATGATGTTCATGGGATACGTATTAGCCGGATTTCATCCCATAATCCGCGCAATGGAGTTTGGTGAACGCGGTCCGCGTAGAAAAAGTTTAACAGCAGGGATCGCAGTTCCTGCCACGACTGGATTCCCTGTCTTCGTACTGCAGCCGCTAACTCAGTCACGAAGAATGTTCTCTCAGGCAATAGCTGCGAACTCCATGCCCCGACGAAAAGCACCCAGATCAACACGTCCGGGAGCATTTGGAAGAATCCGGCTGGGATCGTGGTAGCTAGCGCCAGACGAAGAGCGCTGATCGGTTTGGGGAACACGGGGCCGATCTGGGGGTAGAATTCCCAGATCGTACCATTGTGGAATAGAAGACATGCTAGCCGGACGCAGCCTTCGATATTCGCGTCCCCTTTAGGCTCGCCGGTCTCAAGATACCGATCCATATGAAGGGCATATTCGACATATATGACCTCTGTGTTGAAGTAACCTTCGGTCTCGTCGTCAATTTCTTGGTAATTCTGCCCACTTTTCACCCATTCAGCGTACCACACAAGCTCAGACAGGTCGTAGATGATCTTAGACATGCCATCACCGAAGATACTAGGTATTTCAATTAGTGAATTCAATGCAGAAGCAGTCTTGGCAAGGTCTTCATTAGGAGGGGCAATGGTGAAATGGGCAGGGCGAGCATAACGGAGGAAAGGGAAGATTGGCTTTGTGAAGGCCATGCAAGCCACCCGGATATCGGTCCTGCTGGCGTTAGCGATAGGTGAAACGTTATTTCATTGTCAAACCAACCAAGAGATCTGGAACCGGATATCAGGTGGTACGTCTGCAAGGCTATTTCGCAGGGCAACCATCTGCCTCAATCCGGCCAAGTGGATCTTGAGATAATCAGGGTTTCCAGAAGCAATCTATATGGTCAGTAGCGAGCAGGAATCCCTTTGCAGAATGTCATACCTCAATTGTTAATAACGTTGAAACAGCGGCAATCAACGAATCACTCGAGGCTTTGACAGGATCTGATAGTCCCTCGTTGACCAGCCGGATTGTCTCACCTCTGTGATGAAAGGTGTCAAGAAGTAGGGTACTGGGCCGTTGACCCTCCCTCACCGGGAATTCACCGATTGTCAGGGCAGTATTGGAGGCAGCAACACATATGCACGCGTGGAGTGAGGCGGGGTCGCGATGGACTAGTGCTGTCCAATGTGCCTGTAGCTTCTCTCCATACCGGCGCTGGAGCGGGTACGCAATCTGGGTCAGGGTACCCAGAACTATCAAATGTGAGCTCCGTATAGTCTACATGGTCCAAAGAACTGACTCACAGTGTTGAAGATGCCGAGACATACGATCAGTAAGCCGCGTATGGAATACATTAAAAGGATCATTGCCTCCTGAACCCAGATAGGCCACGGGCGAATTATTCTGGATCACGGTGAGCGCCTGACCATGCGAAGATGCATCAACGTCATGGTAGTTTTCTGTCGATGCTGCCACAAAGCCTGGCGTGTCACCGGCTAGTGCGTTTTCTAAACTACCTTCTTGCTGCTCAGGCTGAGATACCTTGAGGGGCAATTGTTGAGAGTCGCCCAGCGCAGAGGCTAAAGGAGTAGAGGCCGATGAACTAGAAGCGGCGGTTTCCGGCGGCTGGAAAGCAAGGTGCTTCCATGTCTTGCTTTTGTACCGTTTAGTGTTCTCCAGTCTCTTCTTGCGATTATGCTCCGACATAACATGCGAACGGATGCGCTTGAGGGTTTCCTCCCTCGTTCCCTGGGCTGCCGACTGGGGGTCGCTATGGACCCAAAACAGGGTCGACCGGCCACCCGACGCATTACTAGGCTTGCGCGGTTTGCGCGGCTTCGTTACGGCATTTCTGCCTACATCTTGACTATTGCGCTCGGAACTATGAGTTATGTTCTGACGAATGGATTCATCAACGAAGGCGAGCGCATGAGAATTGTCATGGACTGCTGGCGACGCCGGGGCCGAGCTGTGACTAGAATCTGAATTCTGTATAGAAGACGACGCCCCGGTCGCCGACGAGACCGGGGTGGAGTTTAGGAGCGGCAGTACCTGCTGGCGATCGGAGGGCGCCGTTGAGTGGTGAGTAGAGTTCTTGGCGTCCATGGTGCGCGCAAATCTAATTATGGCACTCCGGAGATCTCACGCTTTAAGGATCGTCATTGGGGGGGGAGGAACACGCCGTTTCAAACTGGAGTGAGAATTGGGACCATAAGTTTGGGAATGTGGGTGTGAGAGAGAAAGGCGTCCAAGTGGATTTGGGAGGGTCAAGAAAGATGGGACAAGGGAGGGAAAATTGCTGAATGGTCAGCGCACTGCCCTTATCAGGAAAAGTTCATCCTTCTCACAACTTGATCCAATTGTCTTTTATATAAATATATATATACATGAAACAGGGAGTGCGAGGTTGGACCTCCCTTCTGTTATTTCTATTTTATTTTATAATTTGTTTATACATTTTATTTCTATTTTTTCTTTATTTTATTCCCTTGTGGAACGACAGAACGAGACCTAACTTAGAATCGTTTACATAAACCAGTTAAGGGAAAGTTTGGATCCAACACGACCAGCGGAATTGGAGTCCAGTCCTGAGAGAGAAAGTCATTAATCTCTCATCCTGGTCCATGAGTTCGGGAATTAACAATGAAACCCTAAAAGAGAAAATTGGAATTGATTCCTCTCAAAAGGAAAGAAAAATCAATATATAATATTGTTTATATATACTACATCAATCCTTCGCCCAAGTGGAGCCTGAACTCAATTCCTGGGATTTTATAGAAAGTTATTAGAGCCAGCCAGTACATATTTGGAATCGGATTCATACCGCATATCAAGTTGCAATTGGATATATATATATATATATATATATATATGTGTGTGTGTGTGTGTTATTCCAAATGAGACATGACCTGTCTAGTCTATCGACTACATAGATTTATTTTTAGTATCAGTGTATTTGTTCCCCTTTCAATCCGAGGATCGATAGCTCTGTTTCTTACCCATGAACACAAAAGCCCCATGCGCCATTGGAAGGAGACACTGGGGAGGTTCAGCGAAAGGGCTACGACGACTCTCAACACCCCGCTACAACTCGCAGCACGGTCGCAAAAAATCTACAAAGTCTTATTACATGCCCTAGTCACTAATGTTGGCTATCGCTACAAGATTTGGCAGCCAGGCCCGCGCTGCGAGCTCACCATCGTATGCTGAAAACGAACACAATAACTGAACGACCCATGTAGGAGAGAATATGAACAAGAAGGGATTGCGGGGGTTAAGAATATCCCGATATAAGTGCCACGGCCGTCTAGACCGCAATGGGAACATTACATTCCGGGCCGCGGAAACACAGGCACAGTTTCTAGCTGCTCATAACCGCCCATCGTCCCTTGCTGGCCACCGACATGCCACCCTTGACCAGTCTGTTGGTTGACAAAGGCACTTTGGCGGAAAGGGTTCGTGCTTCCAGTGGGATTGGGCCGCAGAGGCGCCGGCGCAGGAGGCTGCAGGCCCTGTGACTGCTGCGGAGGGACCGAAGAGCTTCGAGCAAAAGGATTAGTCCCCGTTCGTTGGGGTTGTAGTGACGGCGCTGACTGCGGAGGCGGTTGCTGTGGCGGCAGCGCACTGGCGTCGAATTGCGGCGGGTTGGCGCTCGACAGCCGTCGTGCAAAAGGGTTTGTGTTCTGGCGGTTTAGTGGAGATGCCGGCATGCCGGTTCCGGTTGGGGTACTCAGTAACATCGACTGTCTGAAGGGGTTCGTTGTTTGCGGTTGCAACTGCGCACCGGACATTGATTGCTGTTGCTGAGGAAATGGCGTAAGATTGTTCTGGGGAACAGGGGCAAGATTCTGCTGGAATCCATATGTCTGCGGCTGCGCTGAGTAACCGCCAAATCCCGCACCAGTTGGGGTTGGCTGAAGGGGCTGTGGCTGTTGAGCTTGCTGTTGACCGAATGGATTGGTACTTTGCTGTGCAAAAGGATCCCCAGTTGGCATAACCTGGCTAAAGCCGGTTGGCTGCGCCTGTTGTTGGAACCCAGTTTGTTGGGGGTAGAACGCTGGCTGTTGCGGCTGGAAGCCTGTCTGTTGGAATTGCATCGCTTGCACTTGCGCTTGCTGCTGTAGATGTGGTAGCTGCATAGGGTTCTGTTGTGCTGGGGGTTGTGGATCGATTGAGTCGAAGAAATCGATCAAGTTCGCTGGGTTCTCTTTCTTTTGCGGAGCAGGTTGTGTGTGGGGTCGAAGTGGTTCAGGATTGCTGACAGACCTATTTCCTGCTCCAGCCGTGTTGCTGGATGCGAATGTTTGACCCGGGTTGCCACTTTTTCCTCCTTTCTGTAGTAGATATTCTCTTCGTCGCTGATCAAAATCCGGGTCATTAAGGTCGTCTTCAAGGAGTCGAGTTAGGTCGGTAGAGGCGTGCTTCAGCTTGGGTATTTCTAGCCGTGTTGCTGCTTGGAAATGTCTAGCGACACCTAGGAATTTCACGACCTCCTCTGTTTGTTGGGTAAAAGTCTTATAAATCTCTAGTGCACGCTCGCTATCAGGCCGCGACATTTCGAAGTAATGCTCTGTTGCGAACAGCATGAGTTAAGCCGCAATTATGTAACGGGTGATAATACCTACCCAAAACGTTGATCGTGCCCTCGTTCATGACTGAGTAAAGCGTCAGGAGATCCAATGTGAGCAGGCGAAAGGCCGTTAACGTAATCTCGTTCTCAACTTCATCTGTCAGAAGCTAGAGACGGTCAGCCATCGTAACTCGACTACAGCCGATGGAGAACATACATCACACTGTAACAGCGCATGGATCTGTCTTTGTACAATCTCCGTTTCCCTCAAGAGGCCCTTTTCTACCGTCAACCTCTTCATACGTCCCTGCCCGCTTCGTACATAATCCGTTTTGGTAGCCTCGAATGCATTTGCGCGCGCGACTAGGTAATCGGAGTATCTCCGGATGTTATGTCCTTGTGACTGAACTACCCGATGTCAGCATCTTCTTTCGTATATCTGGAACTTTACCGGCTTACCTTCTGAAAATCCGCTGATTGCAAGCTTCCTCGGGTTCTCCGCCATATACTGTAGTGTAGCGTCCAATTGCCCCTCCCTTACCATGATATGTATGACAATGAGGGCTTTGAAGACTATCGTCCATGTTGAGTCGCGTAGCCGAAGCTGAATTGTTCGAAATATTTCTGCTACTCCCGCTTCTCCTGTATGGGTCGCTACCAGGATGTGCTCTATGTATTTAGATTTAGGGGCCGCGAGCTGCTCGCATGAAGCCAGTCATCAGTACCTCATGCTAATGATAACAGGTACGGAGACAATTTCGATTCAGACTGACCTTAATTTTGGTGGCCCCCTTTACCGATTTCTCAAAATTGTGGGACATTGCGACGGTGTGTTGGACTCCGCGATTGGGCCGTAATCGGGATCAGAAGATCCTCGTGGGAGAAGTTCAATTAGGACTGAAGACCCTTGTAGGGTATAAGGGTTTCAAAAATATCAAGGCAGATCAACAGCTATCGTAGTTCCAAATTGATCTGTCGACACCGGCACTAACAACAGTCATGGTGGCTCAAGCCATGTTGCGCGCGTCGTGCAATCTGGAAGTATGGAGTCTAGCAGGAAGGCGGGGGTGGGTGAAGTTATAATCAGCACAGCTTCTGAGAGTGAGACTGAGATCGATAAAACAATGATGGCAATAAAAGCGTGAGATATGCCGGCCTCGAAGAGTTTAGAAGGTTGGTAAATGGCTGGAGGGACTGAGGGAGCTTCACGCCTTCGGAACGTTTGGAGTGTCAAGTCAGCGGGAATCGCAGTGGAGTTAAGCTTTACTCTCTCCGCCTTAGGCAGATATTTAATCAAGTATGTGTATCACGTTCCCGCTTAGTCTATTCAGGAACCTCACACTGTGCCTGATATACGGAGTATAGACTTCTTCTGCCGTCTAGTACAATGAATTTGACCGAAAATTTATTTTCTTCTTCAGCATCATCCTCTTCTTTACCCTAAGAAAAAAGCGCAGAAGTTATTTCTGAGTAGAACCTTTTATTTTTGCCTAGCTTTTGTTTTTTAAGCTCCTCATCTCGCTCTCCCCCGATAGAAATCTGATATGTCGCTTCTTTGGAACTATAAATTCTATATAGTATCGGTTTTAAACCCAATAACTTTCCCTGTTCCATATCCGAACCTATCCCAACACAATCATGCAGTTATGTATAGACCCGGATGTACTCTGCTGTAACAATAGTAGCTGGTTTGCTCATTACTCTCCGTCGTCACCCAACACTTTCTATCCATATACTCCCTCGGTAGTAACAATAACCTCGACAACGCTCCTGTTTCAATGTCCAATATGAAACTGACCCAAAAGAGAATGTGTTTCATAAGAGAAGCAGGTAAGAGCTGTGTACCGTGTCAGGGGTTTATTCTGATAGTATTTCCAGTACAGCATTGACTTCAAAGTAATAACACCCTACCTCACTCCTCCTCAAATCCCATTTTCCCTCTGATCTCGTTTCTCAACTTATTTGGTAGTATTCTGGCCGGTTATTTCTCTGCAGTCCGAGTACCATCGTTCGTCAACCCGCTCATATAAGAGAGATCAAGGCTCTATTTTCTTTTCTTTTCTTTTTTTTTTTTGCACATCATTTGTCTACCCACAGTCCATTGAGCCCTCATTATTCCAGGCAAGAAAAAATCAGAGAAAAGGAACTCATTTTGTCTCTTCACAATACTCTACAAGGTCTCTCTATCTTTCCTAGTGGAAATTGCGCGAACTAGGTGATTCTCTCTGTCTTCTTGATTCAAGATGGATATACAGGCTATCGATCATACACTGAAGACACCCAGGAACCGATGGAGTACTAGGCAAAGAATCTTTCTTTGCTGTCTCTATAAGTTTTTCTGCAGAGACAAGAGAGTATTCAGAGAAATCTTCAACCATGCCTTCAAGCCGGAGCTGATTAAATGTGGACTCACGGAAGGCATTTCTATAGGTACAATGCATTCCCAGTGGGCTGATCTGAAATCGTCCGGTGATCCTATTTGGGGGCATGTACATCTGTCTCCTTTTGAAAACCGTGATACTTGGCTCCCTGTGGTTAAGAGGGTTCAAGAATGTGCGAAGACGTTGGGCATCACGCTTGTTGAGAAAGAAGTAGATGATATAGATATGTCAAACTTCCAGCTCAGGGAGCAGAGTCTCCCAGTTGATTTTTTGTCTACACCTGTGAGTTCTTGTCTTGAAGAGCATGCCTGGTGCTAATGTATAATTAGGATGCTGATGAGAGCCCCATTATACCCTCAACTGCAAGAGCAGTGGATATTGCCGCCATACGGTCCCCGGTGGAAATTGATAAGCACAATTATCAAGACCTAAGTCTCTGTACGGGTGGTGGCAAGAGATGTTTTTGGTGCTATAAAGAAGATGTTGAGAAGGTATGAAATTATAGTATTTGACAACCATTCAGGGTTATTTGACTAATTTACCATAAATCCTAACAGCAGGAAAGCGCGATTTGGATACCTCCTATTCTGTACCGGTGGTCAAATATTGATTCCCAAGGAATCAATTCTACAAAGATGTTTCTCGCTGGATTATTTATCGATGAGCTGGATTATTTTGCGCCAAATGATATCGATATAAAGGAGTTCGAGCAACACGTCGTGAACCACGCTAGTATATTTGAGGTCCCAACTCCCTTCATCTCAACCTTCAGGTCCATGCTTGCACCAATCCATAGGGCGATACAAAAAAAAGAAGGAGCAATACTAACCATGATTGACTCGAAGAAGCTACAAACTCAAGTGTACTCTGCTCAGAAGCTTGTCCGCAAGGTTGGTTTGAAGGTAGGAAGATACAATGGAGGGGGAGAATATCTCATCTGGGGAAAGGTCCATAAATCTGCTATAATATCCTCGTTTAAAGTCAGTTCGCTTCTTCAGGTAACAAGTGAACATCCCCATATTGAGAGCATTCTGCAGCTCGACGTCATTAGAACCTATGAAAAAGCCGGAAGATCATTACACCAAGTCCTAGCCAAGGGCCCGGGACAATTTGACCACCAGTCTGGCTTGATTATAGGAGAGCTCTTGGCCCGCCTCAAAGTACCTCAGCAATATTTCCATTCAGTTGGACAAGGAATGGTGTACTCGTGGCGTTTGAATACAAAGAAAGGGTCCTGGCAAGAGTTTATCGGAGGAATGAACAGTGGTTATTTGTCGCTGACTGAGGTCCATGACCCAGAAACAACCCTGCCTGCCA